AACAAGTGGGTGTAAGTCTCAAAGGCGGGATTTATAATCCTTTGGGCATATATCCGATAATGGGATTGCTAGGTCAAATGGCATTTCTATTTCTAGATCCTTGAGGAATCGCCACACTGTCTTCCACAATGGTTGAACTAATTCGCACTCCCACCAACAGTGTAAAAGTGTTCCTATTTCTCTCCATCCTCTCCAGAATCTGTCTCCAGATTTTTTAATCATTGCCATTCTATAACATTTACTGATATGACCCTTAGAGATGATGTAACGTTTAAAAGGTGGTTATCTCTCATGAAAAGCAAATTAAAAATTGTGTCTTAACCTTTTTATTGCAAAATCCCCATAGCTATAGAAAAGTGTGTAAAATATAGATATGCTCCCTAATGAAACATTGTTAAGCAAAACCACCACCCAGGAAAAGAAATGGGAAATTGCCAGCACTCCAGATGCATCTGGCAGGCCTTCTCCTAATCATATCCCTTTCCTTTTTATGGTAATCAAATTCCTTGCTTTGCTTTGTACTTTTATCACTAAGTGTGCAGTTGCAAATCATATAGTTTAGTTTTGTCCATTTTGAATTTTATATAAATGAAATTACACAGTGTATAATATTTTGATCTGTTTCTTTTGGTCAAATTAAGTTTTTAAGATTTATTCATGTTTTGAACATGGTTCTAGTTTTTTTGTTTCATTGCCTTACGATATTCTATTATAAAAATATTACCACAATTTATTTTTCCATTCGGCTCAAGGCCAGTTGGCTTGTGTCCACATTTTAGCTGTTACAAACAATGATGCTTTAAACATCTTGTTTTGTAATGTAGCACACATGTGCAAGAGTTTCTCTAGGGTAGGTGGTCAGAAGAGGGATTGGTGCTCATAGGGATGCATAGTTTTGCTTCATTAAAGTGTTTCTTTTTATCAAAGAAGTTATACCTATTTACAGTCCCACCAATAGTATATGAGAGTCTCCATTACCTCACATCTTTGCCATATCACACTGTTTTGAGACAGTGCCTGAAATTTTATTGTATTTTTCTGATTACTAACAGTTGAGCACTGTTTTTAGTTTATAGCCTGTTCAGATCTCCTCTTTTATGAAGCCCCTATTCAGTCTTTTACTCATTTTTCTATTGTTTATCTTCTGTGTTGATTTTTGAAAATACTTTTATATTATCGTAGCCTCCTTTCCCCTTATGGGAGAGCATGAGGTGGAGAGTACATATGCTATTACTTTATTAGAGAGGGAAGCCCCAAGGAGCAGGGGCGAATAGTAAGGGAAATGAAACAGAAAAGGAGGTGAAGCTGATAAAATGATGCATTACTGAACAAGCTACCAGTAGTTGGAATGGATTACCCAATCTCAGAGGATTGTTCCACAAGGCAATAACCTGCCTCTCAAGACCTTCCATTGTAGGAAAAAAAGTATAACTGTGTATCAGCCAGTTCCTAGCTCCTATTGGTTAAAGGCCCATGCACAGAGAGCTAATTTCCTTACACTTTTGGGTTGTACGTGTGTGGGTACTGAGAAGGATCTGGTGGTCTAGCCTAAATAGGAAGCTCATGGTGAGAGAGGAGTTGTTGAAATACAGGCATGAAGTCAAATATTCAGCTTACATAAGGGACCTTTATTTTTTGTGAATACAGGATATCCTCCTCACCACTTCTAATTATCAAAGTAACCCCTTCAGTATAGTGGCCTGTCATAATCTCTAAAGGACTTAGGCAAGAAGGGTAGTGAAACAACTAATAGTCCTCATTGTTGCAAGTAATCTCATGGTTGTAGTTGATATTCACTCTAAATTTGCTGCACCATTTATTCTAGATTTTTCTTGCTCTTGGACAGCAATTGGACACCAATCTCTGAGTGGTTCTACATCTTTATCCCCGAGTGATCTAAACCTTTAGATGCCTTGCTTTTGATGGCCTGTAGCTGCTGCAGTTGCTCATTCACCATTATCACAGTGCACCAAGAGATGCCAATGAATCACCCCACATTCATTCTCCTCCCTACCCCCATTGTGTAGCAGAAATGCTAGCTCTCAGGGTTGGTTACTCCTCATAATACAGAAACTCATTTTTTTTTTTTTGGGACGGAGTTTCGCTCTTGTTACCCAGGCTGGAGAGCAATGGCGTGATCTCGGCTCACCGCAACCTCCGCCTCCTGGGTTCAGGCAATTCTCCTGCCTCAGCCTCCTGAGTAGCTGGGATTACAGGCACGTGCCACCATGCCCAGCTAATTTTTTGTAGTTTTAGTAGAGACGGGGTTTCACCGTGTTGACCAGGATGGTCTCGATCTCTTGACCTTATGATCCACTCGCCTCGGCCTCCCAAAGTGCTGTGATTACAGGCTTGAGCCACCGCGCCCGGCCAGAAACTCATTTCTTTACCTATTGGTCCACAATAATGAAGAATCTAAAATTTAGTTGGAACTTGATTATGTCTGCTGGTGGAAGCAGTATCTCCCTGGGAACCCAATATTCTATGGCATGGTGTAAAGCTGTGGGGACAGGAAGTACTAATTCCACATGTGGATGATTGTGAGTATTGGTGAGAAGAGCCCATCCTACCTTTGTCCCTAGATTTCGAGGCTTGTACACTCCAGACCTGTATCATAGATATGCTATTGGTTCAACACATAAACCCTGTTTTGGAGAATAGATGCCTGCTCCCCAACCCATAAAAATTTTCCTTGAACTTGAACCTAAGATAATGTTATAACTGGCCATTTCATTGTGCTATTAGGCCACGTGCTTCTAATCTTAAAAGCAAGGCCAGTAATTCCCATGGCTATGCAAACGTTTTTGCATCTTCTTGTCATGCATTAATCCCTAGCCAGAAGTAATGGCCTGAGACAAAATTATTATGACGTATAACTTAATTAAGGAATTAAATTCCAGGCAGTAGGAGTACAGGATAAGAGAAATAAACTGGAAAATGAAGGACAGCCAGTGTAAAGATGTGTGAGCCTGAAGTGTAACTGCTTACATCCATGGGTCTATCCCCTGAGAAGCCGTATAATCTGCTACTCAGAACCATCCATCAGAGGCTGGGATTGGGGGCAGAGCCAAGGGGAACATTTTGTCCAGTGACTCTTCAGTTGGCCACAGACAAGCACTAAAAGACATTAGCTTTTCCACATTTGTGAGTTGCACGTGTGTGGATGCCATGTGGTCCAATGATAGAATCAGCAGGGAGACTACATGGTGAGAAGTGGGAGAAGTGCAGGCATAAGGTAAGGTGCCCAGGGTCCCCTGCTCATACCTGCAGAGTTGAAAGTCACACTTCTTTTGGAGGTTTATGTAAAAGTCAATATGTAAAATGTATGGAACCACATAAGCAGATTTGGATTCTATCAAGAAACTTGGGCTTATATAGTCCGAATGCCATTTAAATTAAAATGCCACCTGACTCCTTATGTTACCATGGGAAATTCTAAGGCAAGAATCTCAGAATCAATTTTCTTGTGGTTTATGTATACATAAGATTGAAAATTATAAGTAAAATAAGCTCAAAACTTTTAATGAATCACTCATTTTTATGTCAAGTTATCTAATGTAAATATGCATCGGATTTAATTATTAAGTGTAGGAGATATGTTTATGTATTCAAAAAATAATAACAGTTTGAAAAATCTGTGTTAACACTAGTTATATCCAGTGGTGACATTATTTTCTCCTTAATGATTTCCTGTATTTTTTGAATATTCAATACATAATGTGTATTAAATTTGTGACAAAAAATATAATAGATATTTTAGAAATGAAAAGTAACTAAAAAGATGATAAATAGCTGTTGATTTTCTTTCCTGTAATCATGGTTTCTCTCTTGATATCTATCAACACACTCTTACTTTTCTTTAAAGTTAACCAAAGCAAGTGGAAAGTTTTACTCATCCTTATGTCTTCACAGTACCTGTCTCCTTGGTAACTTATGTTATCTGAAGTCTCTGTTAAGAATCTAATTAATCAGTAATTTTATTTTTCATGTTTTTAGAGACAGGGTCTTACTGTGTTACTCTGACTGGAGTGTAGTAGCACAATCAGAGCTTACTGCAGCCTTGACCTCCTGGGCCAAAGTGATCCTCTTGCCTCAGCCCCCAGGACCACACGCAGGTGCCACCACACCCAGCTAACTTTTAATGTTTTTGTAGAGACAGGGTCTTGCTATACTGAGCAGCTGGTCTCAAACTCCTGGTCTCGAGTAATCCTCCTGCCTTGGTCTCCTAAAGTGCTGGGACTAGAGGCATGAGCCATAACACTTGGCCTGTATTTTTAAACATGTATGTAGGGCATTTGCTTTCTTAGTTTCTTTTCCTTATCTACCTTTGATATTATATTTTTTACTTGTTTGATATCTTAGGTTTTTCTTGACGACATAGTATTTTATAAGGATAGTGTGTATACATTACACAAAACGTGTTTTAAAAATTTGCAGGTGCTTATGAAAATACAAAAGCCACAATGGGTATGTATTTATGTTCTAACATCCTGCACCAAAATCAGTGGTCTTCAGAAGAATAAAGAAACATGCACATTTGCAGAAAATTTTCTGTCAAATCGTAAATGCATACCCTAGGTCATGGTAACACTGGGTTGGCATATTCAGTCAGTCTGACAATAGCACCAGGGACAACGTATCTTCATAATTAGCTCCATGCTATCACCCTCATGGATAGTGATAGTGTATCTGAAACAGGTTGGCTTTCAGCAACATTCTGTATTGTTATCATGTTTAAATGTATCTAAGTTCCTTTAAAACTTATATTGCAAACTCCTTATTAGCCACAGATTGTTCAGTAAAATAATGCTATATAAGGTATGAATGCATGTGTACATATATAAATGTGTGTGTATATATGTGTGTGTGTGTGTATATATGCAATGTGTATATAAATGAGGACACATACAGTAAAGGCCTACCTTATTTCATTGGTGAAAACAAGACTATAACTTCAGAAAAAGACATATTTTTCTCTTCTTAATAGCATAGTGAGAAAATCTAAGTCTTCCTTTAGTCTTTTGTTATCATGAATTTGGATTTCAAAAATATATTTGAGGGTCAGGCATGCTGGCTCTCACCTGTAATCCCAATACTCTAAGAAGTTGAGGTGGGAGGATCGCTTGAGCCCAGGAGTTTGAGACCAGCCTGGGAAACATAGTTAGACCATGTCTGTAACAACAATAAGAAAAAAGAAAAAAATTAGCTGGGTGTGGTGGTGCACACTTGTAGTCTTAACTACTTGGGAGGCTGAGATGGGAGGATCGTTTGAGCCCAGGAGGCCAAGGCTGCAGTGAGCTGTGATCATGCCAGTGCCCTTAGCCTGGGTGACAGAGCAAGATACTGTCTCAAATATATATATATATTTGACGTGTCTTTTAAAAATGAATTTTTGCAGAATTTAATGCTTGAATGCAGCGATGTGCCTGCCTTTAGAAATGGGCAGGGCTCCTGTATTTGAAATAATACTGTATAGGAAGCATTGACAGAGAAAGGGCTTGATTTTTGTTAAAGTTAGTATAATTGGCATTCAGAGTAATGGAACCAGTGATTTCCCTTAAAGGAAGTAGAACGGACATCAATGACACCCACATTTATTCTTTCCTGCCACAAACACATATGGAGAAATGGTATGTGTCATACATTGTTCTGGATTCTGGGGTGCCCAGAGGACTAAGAAACCAATCCTTATTATTTGGCAGAACACCTTCAGTTAATTGTTGGATGGGGCTCTCTAGGTAAATATTAGTTTTAGTATTTTTAGATCTATTAATTTAAGCTTATATATAAATTTTTGAAGGAAAACACTATGCTTATTGAAACTTAGATATATTCGATGCTCTTGTGGTGGTAGTCTCCTTTATTTTTTTATTTTTTTTATTTTGAGACAGAGTCTCAGGCTGGAGTGTAACGGCATAATCTCGGCTCACTGCAACCTCCACCTCCCAGGTTCAAATGATTCTTCTGCCTCAGCCTCCATGTAACTAGGATTAGAGGTACCTGCCACCACGCCCAGCTAATTTTTACATTTTTGGTAGAGACGAGCTTCACCATGTTGGTCAGGCTGGTCTCGAACTCCTGACGTCATGATCTGCTCGCCTCGGCCTCCCAAAATGCTGGAATTACAGGTGTGAACCACTGCGCCCGGCCTGTGGTCTGCTTTTTAAAAATGACTTGCTTTCATGAAAATTGGGAAAGTTTGTTATTTGCTTGTATTTATCCCTTTGTTCACCCACCCATTCAATTGCTAATGTATTCAGATGAATACATATAGAAAGCTCACAGTTGTTTTGATGCCATCAATGAAATAAAAATGATAGCCCCATACATTAATAGGAAAGTTAAGAAATTCACAGATGATTGAGTCATGGGCTTATAAAACTACAAATACTCACAGTGCTAAAAATGCTATTTAGGTAAATTTGAGGAAAAATAATTCCTAATTACATCATATTTCATTTTGTGTATTTCCGTCTAATGTCTAATTACTTTGCACATACATACATGCATAGTTTAAAAATAGCTGCATTAGGCATGTGCATTTTTTTGTAATTTGCTTTTTTTAACTAAAAATTATTTTGAGTTATTAAATTAGAAGAAACAGCTTAAAAGTTTGAGGATACCACAAATATTCTCTTTAATTTTTGCCCTAGAGTTTTCAGAATCGTGGTTGAGTTATATATTATTCAGTTCAAAAGCAAGATAGTGATATCTTATAAATGCTAGCACTGTCTAAGCTACAAAAGCATAACTGATGCACATGTTCTGTATTCTGTTTCAAATTTTGCTTATTTCTAATTTTTTTTTTTTTTTTTTGAGAAAATCCAGCGGGAACTCAGAAGAGCAGGCATCTGAGTGATTCCCTTGGTGCTTGAGTTCATGTCCTGAAATTAGGCAATGTTTCCTCCTTTCTTGAAATGCAGGTTGCATTTTTCTTAAATTATATACTCAAACTACTATTATCATGAATAATTATTAAATTGCTGCAGATGCTACTAAGCTGTGTGCAGTGCATGAAACTGTCATATTTTCCACGTTTTAATCCAAAGTGATAAAAAGCTGATTGCCTTAAAGCTCTGATATCTATACAGGGAAGTAATTCTTTACATAAAACATCAAGAGGCAAATTTTATTTTAGAAATATGTGACTTTAAAAGTCTTACAGATTTAAATTTCAAATTAAAAACATATTGCCAGCTGCGGTGGTTTGAAAGGGTTTATTTGCAGTTGTTCTGGCTTCAAATTTAACTCTTCATGATAATTCTCCTAAATTGGCTTCCCCCTTATCTCCTATTTAAGAGTTTAAAATAGAAAAAGAAACCAGCCTATCTGCAAATGAATAAATAGTGTAAAAAGGAGATAGTTACATAGGGAGGGTATCCAACAATAAATATCTTTAAAAGCATGACTATTGTCAATGTCCCTCCATATTCTACAAATTTTTCATTTAGATGCAGCATCATGCTCACTTCTCAATCTAAAAATCATAGTCAATATTCTACTGCAGAAGTTAGTGAAACAATAAATCGTTCTACTATAAGGATACATGCACACAAATGTTCATTGCAGCACAGTTTACAATAGCAAAGACCTGGAACCAACCCAAATGCCCATCGATGATAGACTGGACAGGGAAAATGTGGCACATATACACCATGGAATACTATGCAGCCATAAAAAATGATGAGTTCGTGTCCTTTGTAGGGATATGGATGAACCTGGAAGCCATCATTCTCAGCAAACTGACACAGGAGCAGAAAATCAAACACTACATGTTCTCACTCATAGGCGGATGTTGAACAATGAGAACACATGGACACAGGGAGGGGAGCACTACACACTGGCGTCTGTTGGAGAGAAATAGGGGAGGGACAGCAGGGGGTGGGGAGTTGTGGGGGAGATGGCATGGGGAGAAATGCCAGATATACGTGATGGGGAGGAAGGCAGCAAATCACACTGCCACGTGTATACCTATGCAACAATCTTGCAAGGTCTTCACATGTACCCCAAAACCTAAAATGCAATTAAAAAAAAAAAGTTAGTGAAACATACGGGAATTTTGGTTCAAGTTAGGTTCAAGAACTCCAGGTCTAAAATGACTCCTAAGAATTATCAGTTTATCCTTTCGCCTCCAGCTTGGTGTCAGTGAAGACCACAGTTAGTGATAGCAAGATGAGCTTAACCTAGATCTGTGTCTGTAAAAGCTCTCTCTGATCAGACTAATGTGTTTTAGGGAAAAGTTAGAATGGAATTATGGCTCCTGGCACGCATAAGAAAGGTTGCTGTCTTTATTTGCTCTTTAACTCCAAAATGCATTTTGGAATTTACTTTCTGGAGGGAATCTACAATATTCTAAAACGTTCATAGGCTGGGCTCCTCCTCCTTATCCCCACTGTTGTCTAGTGGTTAGAATAGAAAGAGCAGGAAATGAGAGGGGAACAAGGACAACTTGAACCAATAGGTTTTTTTTTTTTTTTTTTTTTTTT